ATATTCATTCTTGCAGTAAATATCTTTGTATCTTGATTTAATAATGAAATAGATCTATATGAACTTGGATTTGTCAGCTCTTTATTGGGTTTTGGAATAAGAGTTGTTAATGAATGTTTTCAAGAATCTGGTGTTTTTTCTCCTTCCAGTATTTCATTATAAAGTATTTTTAACTTGGGGATTGCCACAAATCAACCTCCCTCTAGGGAGTTCGTTGGCTAGAGAGCGTCCAGGTGTTTGGGTACCCCTATCCAGCTGGGCTGAGTCCTGGTAACACTAGCTAGGGCGTAACAAATATCCTTTCCCGCAAGTCTAGCCTAAAAGATTCAGTCCTGCACTTAATTAAACTTAACAAGTACAGGCACCTGGGCTTTGGAGTCCCTGAAGACTTGCAAAAGCTCAGAAAGATAGGACTCTGGTATTAGTACAGTAATATCGTGGCCTTGCAGCCACTCTGGAAACAGGCTCAGCAGACTTGCTGTTCAAAAGACCATTCTTAAGGATTTTTAAGAATAAATTTTTATTGAAAAATCAAGTCTTTATAGATATTCTGTTCGATGCATGAGCAAAGCTTATATTACATTTCCATAGAATACTGCAGTTATATGAATAACAAATTCCAGCTAAGTAAAAAAAACTAAACTTCTAAAAAAGCTTTTTTCACGGTAGGTAAAAGGCATGAAGCCCCCCCCTTTCTTTCTCTCGTTCCCTACATACTCAATCCCTTATTCCAACTAAGGTAAAAGGCAAAAAGGATCCAAAGCCTCTCGCTAGACTAAGGAACATTCCACATGGCAAAATCTCCATTTTTCTACTAACTAAGCCACACCCTTCTTCTTCATCCTTCAAGGTGTTGACCAATCGTGATTTAGGGTCATCATGTCTCTGCCTGCCTTTCATTCCTATGAGAACACAGGTGTTGTTTTCCTTCTCTAATCTTGGTCCCAATTAAGATGGAATGTGGTGTCTAGTCTCCTTATCTTTGTCCTTGTTGTGCCGGCTTCTCACAGTTCTTCAGTAAACATTCCCAGCATTCAAAATCAGCCTTACACAGAACCATTTTGATTCCATTTTACATTTCTACACAAACCATTCAAATTACAGGTTTTAACTCACATACTCATGATCATGACAGGGATCAATACTGATTTAAAAGGGTTATAATATTCTGAGCCTATTACATCAAAGCCTGGAGTTTTACCATTTTTAAATTTCTTAATAACCACTGTAATCTCTTGATCCTTTATCTTTTTCTAATTCTCTTTTATCATTCTCTAATAGTTTACGACAAGGCTGTATATTGTCCCTCGGCTTATTTAACTTATATGCAGAATACATCATGCGGAAGGCTGGACTGGAGGAATCCCAAGCCGGAATTAAGATTGCCAGAAGAAATATCAACAACCTCCGATATGCAGATGATACCACTCTGATGGCAGAAAGTGAGGAGGAACTAAAGAACCTCTTAATGATGGTGAAAGAGGAGAGTGCAAAAAAGGTCTGAAACTCAACATCAAAAAAACTAAGATCATGGCCACTGGTCCCTTCACCTCCTGGGAAATAGAAGGGGAAGATATGGAGGCAGTGACAGATTTTA